ACCACTGAATGCACCCCCTGTCGTGTGTCCCTCCTGGCTGTCTCTGCATCTCAGCTTCCCTGGGTGTCTCCTTCTCTACCTCAACCCCTGCCATATTGTCTGTAGAAACTTCAGTAATACTGCTCTTAAGGGCCTATCCTGCTCTCTCAATAACTGATCCACTTTTATAAAAGATCTGACGGCTTTTCTGTAGTAAATATGATGGCTGTGATGCTATCGGGTCCATGGAATTGTTAACAGTCATCTTGGATGAGGAGAGGGTGGCCAGTCAGCACAGGCAGTGCTGTGCTTGTTTTGATCTTCTGGCTCCAGTTCAGATGTCTCAATTTTCAGCTACTAGGCTTTGTGAAAGCTGGCACTGTTGAGCACTGTGGAAGGATGGTGAGGATCTCAGGACTTAGAATAAAATGGTGGGTCCTGGACACAATACACCCAGATCTGGCATTCTCAGTAAGCAGATGACACCATTGGGTTTAGCAGCATCCCTACATGTTTTGAGTATGACATAACAGTGATTAATAGCTATATGAATACCAGTTAGATCTATTTTAACAGGAAAAGTGGATGGAACATATGATCAGTGAAGTGAATTAAATAAACACTCATTGCTTAGTCCTGAAATAACATTTTAAGAACTAATAATAAGCTATCAGGGGAGGATTAACTTCAGTAGATTGCGTGACTGTGCTCTGAAACAGTAATCATCAGATGTGCTCCCAGCACTTGAACCATGTAAAAAGAACATAATGAGAATCCTTTTTCTCTACAACTGATGTTGTGGTTACATTTTTTATCTCTGAAGACTCTGTCCCATGGGAGCTCATTAATTTTTCCTTTCTTTTTTTTTCCAAAGTTAATTTCACTATAGAGTCATCAGTGGTTTGAACATGATCACCAGGGATACTTTTGTTGGTTCATTTAATAGTTCCCAGTGTTCTGTAAAGACATAGAACCAATAAAACACATTCATTTCTGTTACTGTAAATTAATAGATCAATCCATTGCTTTGAACAGAGAGATCAGAACATCTTCACATCCAAGACAAGAAGGATTCCAGCATTTATTTACCATTGGTTGTCCATTCTTTTAGTCAGAATTTGGGCAAATAGCTTTTAATAGTTCAGTGGAAGCTAGAAAGTCTAATGAGGGTCCATCTTTCACTTGCTGGCAAGAGCAAAGCACACTATTCTTTATGCCATTGTGTGTCATCTTGCATTTGAAAGAACAGGAAGAGAATTTGGGGTTAAAATTATGTAAAATTAACTCAAAATATAACCAGTAGCAACCAGAGTTTCCCAGAGCCAAGAAGGAATTTCAGGTTAAATTTCCCAAAAAGCGATGGGGAACCGCTGGAAAGTAAGTATGAAATGTTTGTTATGTATGTGCCTTGAGATTTGTGACAGGAACAATGGAGATTTTCCTGAAAGCAGAGAGTGTTGCGCTTTCTGTGAGAGAGTCTGAGTCCATGAAATAGCTTCATGCTCAGAAATGATTTGAAAAGTAACCTCTCAATTGCCACTTTCTTTTGGATCACATGACAATGAATCTGAATGTGATCCTTAATGCTGTTAGAGATGAGAATTATAGGTGAGACTAATCAGTATATTCTATATTGTGTAGTCACTTCGGTAGTATGATGAGTGGGGCCAGAAAAGGATATCAAAAAATATTTGGCTTTTTCTTAGACTCTTAGACCATGGCAGACAGGAAACTGTCTATCAACTATACCTGCTAAAAGGATCCATAATAATTATCTTGTTTGTAAGGATTTGGTGTCTCTGATATTGTTCTTTTACTGGTACATTTGGTCAAATAACTCATAAAAATATAAAGTAAGTATATGCTTATTATTAATTTAAAATATGGTGAGAAAAAGAATTATGAGTTTTTAATAAAATGGCCATGTAGATTAAACTGGTGCCATCTAAATTACATGAAAAGTTTTATAGTGTTAGTTAAAAATATTAAAATTAATACCCCAAAATTTTAGTAGCCAATGCCCAGGACTCTGGAAAACAGAGATTTTCACTTTCGTACGGTGGGAGTGCACACTGAGACACATTTTCTAAAGGACTAATTTGGCAATAACTGTGGGAATATGTATGGGAAGTCCTTTATTCAATATTTCTTTTTTTTGACCAGTATGTTTTATTTTGCTTTACTTTTTGCACTATAACATCATACAAGTTTGAGATGTGCATCATAAATTAAAGTCTAATATGCTCCATAATATCCACCGTGTAAAGTCCTGTAATTAGATAAGCTCTATGCAACTTACAGTCTTTATGCAGAAAGGACATCAATATAACGTGGAAAATATCTATTAGAAAACTGTAAATCTAAACAAAGATGCTAAATTGAATGGTGATATTGATGTTGGTCAATTAGATTTAAAGGTATGGTCGGGCCCAGGGGGAAATCCCCCAATCCCTCTGGGTATTTTTAAAAAACAATAATAATGATTATGTGCTCAATATATAGATAACTGTAGTTCTTTCTCCATTTCTCTACTTTTCTATTTGACTAGATAAATGAGGTAAATAAATATGTATTTATTTTATCATGGAAAATTAAGGCAATGCTAGTATTGTTTAAGAGAAAAGTAAAAAATAACATTCCATAATTTAAATTATCCTGGACTCCAGAAGTGAAAGTCATAAACTAGAACTCCAGTATTAAATGTAATTTCTTTGTGATAATAGTTTTTTCCTCTATAAATAATCATTCAAACAATGATGTAAAGTTACTTACAAAGTTCACTCCAGCCATTTCCTCTGAATTGAGGACACAGATTACATCTGTAACATTGTACCACACACGTAAACTTAATTGGGAGCCAGTGTATTGGCCAATATGAAGGGATGGAGCTCCACAGGTGAATGAGCCAAAGAGAACAAACATGTGGCACTTAAGTGGTAACATGTATGACTCAGGAACCCTTCAGATCTTAGCCCAGAAGAGCAATCTCCGCATAAGTACACTTTAATTTAAGGTTGCTGATACCCACAATCCATTTACCCCATAAGCCTTGATTGACAGTCTTAAGAGAAAACTGTCTATAAACAATATGGCATTGTGGCAATTCTCATCAGAAAAGAAATGATGCCTTCTGCAAGCATAGAAGTAAACAACACTTAAGGTATTGTGAGGCAAATATCTGAGTCTTCAATGAAAACCATTCATATAACAAAATAATTGGTGTCTCATGGGAAGATTTTATTTAGTTGTTTATTGAAGCAATCCAGATGCCCTGGAGATATTTTTGAGGCTGGATTATATTTTAAAAGCTAACATTTTAATTAGTATGAGCAACTGCACCAAATCCTAAACTTTCAGCTTTCCTGGAATTGCTAAAGCTTTGGATTCAGTTTGCTCTGATCAAATTCCAGCACTGACACTTTTTTAAGAGTCTATTGTCACCATCACTGGGAAGGGTGAGTGAATAGAAAAGGAAGCATGAGAAATGAAAAGGTACTCCTGATGGCAGTGATGTAATGGCGTCATTGTCATTATCCTCAAAAGAAGCAGCACAGGGAAAGAGTTTTGTAGGTCTACTCTGAGGATGTTAGCGATTTTTCAGCTTTTAAGAATATCTATACCTAACAAATAAGTTCTGTGTCTTTTCCATGTCATATTTAATGAGAATTAAATGTATTTTTCACTAAATATAACAGCCTGATAATAAGTGCTTTTTGGTGGAATATGCACAGTCTGAGTCTGTTCTCAGGCCGGAGTACTGAAGAGCACAGAGGTATCCTGGAGCAATGAATGACATTCCCAATGTCACACCAATAAGTGACATTCCCAAGGACAGGTGAGTTTTCAGAGAAAGGAATCAAGGCAAAGTCACTCCTTTTGCCAACTCCTGTTCTCCTTCCTCTGCCCTTAGGTGGTTGGAAAGTAGCCTAAGAAGGCATTTGGGAACTGAATTATCTATGTGTGACCTACAGAACCCCACAAAGAACCGTGGAAGTTTAAGGACAGGATTCTTTTCTCTGGGAAGTATCATCAGACATCACTTTTGTCAGTAATCTGGGAAGACTTGGGATGGGTGAATTGTTAGGCAACAGGTGGATGTTGAAACAGGAATTCAGGGAAGGAAACAAATAAGAGGCTATTCAGACTGATACATCGGAGCCATTCAGTCTCAAATACTTCAGTACATTACCACAAAAGGAAGCAAAGAAGAAATTCTGGAAGAGTTTGGGACTCAGAAAATTTCAGGGCAACCGTAGTACTGCTCTGAGGTTTTGCAAACATCAAAGGTTTCTCTAGAATGCTAGGGAGACTAAGGAATTATTTGAAAGAACAAGCATCACAAGCCACTAGTGGTGTTCTATTACCATAGGGCACAAGAATGATTTGCTGATGTGCTATCCTGACAGATGGGGAAATACAATTTTCATAAGATTTTTTTTTCTATAAGGCAATATGTATAGATCTCCTGCTGTACACTGAGTGTTGGGGCTATTGTGAGTGCTGGGAAAATCTCTGTGAGATTTTCATGGTTTTTCTCTTACTTTAAAATTGATCTTTAGGTCAGGAAAAAGACAAACCATTGATCTGAAACATACAGCAAGGGAAGGGGAGGGAGAGGGTCAAAACAGGGGAGGGAAGAGCATAAGGGACTGTGGTGATCAATCACGGGTGCTGTGATGGTGGGAGATTTACGGGGATTACATATAAGAGGAGAAGTCAAATATTGCCCAAAAATGAACAATGATGTAAGAAAATAAATATAAAAATTTTTTTGAATAAAATTGATCCTGTAACTGAAATAGAAATGAAACTTCAGATGGATATTTACCCAAAAGCCCATCTGAAGACCCAAGGTAAAACAGAGTTAGAAAATGAAGCACTTCTATGAGATGATTATGATCAAATAAAAGTTTAAAAATGTGTTTCTATTCAACTGTTTGGCAACTTTCTTACATAACTTTCTAAAATATTTTTATATTTTTTCAGACTGAAAAGTTATGATTTTTTATTACACACCCAATAAATATCTGAAGAACGTGATGCACAACCATTCTGCAATAACAACATTCATCCTGCTGGGACTAACAGATGACCCACGATTGCAGGTTTTTCTTTCAGTGTTTCTGTTCCTCACATACATTTCTACTATTGTTGGAAATCTAATTATTATCCTTCTTACTCTGGTGGACTCTCACCTCAAAACACCCATGTACTTTTTTCTTAGGAATTTTTCCATGTTAGAAATAATATTTACAACTGTTTGTGTCCCTCGATTTCTATACAGCATGACAAGTGGGGACAGAAGTGTTACCTATAATGCTTGTGCCACCCAGTTATTTTTTGTCATCCTTGTGGGGGCAACAGAATTTTTCCTTCTGACCACTATGTCCTATGACCGCTACATGGCCATCTGTAAGCCCCTGCACTACGCCACCATCATGAATGAAAGGATATGCAACATCCTTGTTATTAGCTGTTGGCTGGTTGGGTTGATTGTCATACTCCCTCCACTTAGCCTGGGAGTTCAGCTGGATTTCTGTAACTCAAATCTCATTGACCACTTTGGCTGTGATGCAGCTCCACTTCTGAAGATTGTATGCTCAGACACTCAATTTGTAGAGCAAGTTGTTTTAATCATGGCTGTGCTGACCCTCATAGTCACTCTAGTCTGTGTAGTTGTGTCCTACACGTATATCTTCAAGACTATTTTAAGACTTCCTTCAGCTCAGCAAAGAAAAAAGGCTTTCTCCACTTGTTCTTCACACATGATTGTAGTTTCCATCACCTATGGAAGTTGTATTTTCATCTACATCAAACCAGCAAAGGAGGGAGTTGCCATTAATAAGGTGGTGTCATTGTTAAACACCTCAGTTATCCCTTTGATGAATCCTTTCATTTATACTTTGCGGAATAAGCAAGTCAAACAAGCATTCAAGGACTCAATAAAAAAGATGGCGTTTCTTTTCAAGAATTAGGGGACTAAGAGAATTTTTTAATTAAAAATATATACTTACAGAGGGAGAAGAAGGCAGAGTAAGAAGATCCTGAGCCCACCTCTTCCCACCACATAACAAATCTACCAGTGCATACTCAAAAATTGCCATTGAGACAGAAATGAAAACTAACAGAACAGCATTTCCACAGCAAGAGATAAAAGCCTTCCTTTGAGAAACATAGCAAATGTGGAAGACATGATCTTGCAGGAAAGCCACCTCAGTGTGGTGACCCAAAATCACCATATGTGACAAAGTGACAATGGCAAAAAAAAAAAAAAAAACGCGGATAAATAATCACCTTAAATATAAATGAATGAAATACAACCAAAGACCTAGAATCTAATAATGGATTTTTCAAAAAGACCCATCTCTATGCTGCCAACTAGACGACCACTTCAGGAGTAAAAGAGACACATGTAGAGGGTGAAAGAGTCTAAATAGTTACCTAATGAAATGGAAACAAAAGAAAGCTGGGTCACATCACACAAAATAAACTTTAAAACAAAGACTTCAATAAAAGACCAACATGGACAGTATGTAATGTAAAGGGGTCCATCCAACAAGACATAGCAACATACATCTAACATAGCAGCACCAGAATATATAGCAGATATTAGATACCTAAGGGGGGAAATTAACACATATACATTATCACAATAATATATATACTTTTAACACCCTTCTTACATCAATGGATAGATCATTGCTGGTTTGGTGTTTCAGTATGACATGTTGGGGAGAACTAATCTCCAGCTACTGAGTTATTCAAAAGAATAACAGCGAAGACCAGGAATATTTATCCTGTGTTTCAGGATCTGAAGCATCAAGGGCAGAGAGAGGGAGATTTCACATGGCAGACAAGGAGGGGGTGACCTCATCCTTACTACGAGAGTAAGATGAGGGTCTTCAGTAAAGAGAGGATATTCAATGACAAAGCTAGAACTGGATGAGATCCCCATGCTATGTTCTTCCAGGTCATAAAAAGAAGAGCAGTGGTTGCTTCTCTGATTCAGAAAAGGGCAGAACCTTAGGACACTGACTTACTCTTCCAGTAGGGAAAGACAAAGGACTTGGGCTATGATTTTACACCAGCATCCACATGAGCAGCAAGAATGAGCCTGTCCAACAAAATGTCAAGAAAAAGTAAAACCAGCAAGCTGACCATAGATCTGAGGCACACAGAAAGGGAGAGGGAGGGAGGGAGGGGGGTCAAAACAGAGGAGAGAAGCACACAAGGGAATAGGGTGATGGTTCACGGGTGATATAGTAGCTACAATGATGTAAGAAAAAAATTAATTAAAAATAAATCATAAAAAAAAAATGAGACCATCCAGAAATGCCAGCAGAGATAGTCAAAGAAAAAGCTCTACTCAAGATCACTGGGCAACATAAAGCTATAACAAAATAAGAAAAATATTCTGGAGCCAGGTCATTTTTTCCTAGTGAATAGGATGGAAAACTCTCAGTTGCCAAAAATAACAAAAAGTGGTTTAATTACCTATTGGGCTCAGACAAACCTTGATCAAAAAGGATATTGGCAATTTGGACCACATCAAACTAAGAAGCCTATGCACAGCGAAAGAAACTATCACTAAAATGAAGATTCCACACCAAATGGGAGAAAGTATGTACACACCACATGCCTGACATGGGCTGGTATCCAAGATCTGCAAAGAACTCATACAACTCAACAAAAACAACCTGCTCAAAAGATGAGCTGAAGAGTCAGATAGCCACTCCTCCAAAGAAGACATACCAATGGCCAAAAGGCTCATGAAAAAAAGCTCCTCATCACTTATTCTCAGGGAAATGCAAGTCAAAACCACAATGAGATATCAACTGACCTCTGTGATGTTGACCCATATTAAAAAGGACAGTATCAAGTGTTAACAAGGATGTGGACAAAAGCTGTCTCAGACACATTGGTGGGAATGTGGACTGGTCCAGTCCTCTATGACAATAGTATGGCGTTTGCGCAGGATCTTTGTCTACCTATTCTTTGTCTACCCAAAGAATGCAAAAAAACACTAATAGGAAATATACGTATGCCCTCCTCTATTCATTGCAGCACTATTGACAATAGCCAAGCTATGTGCCCAAAGACAGATGGGTGGATTAGGGCGATATGGTTTATAAACACAATGAAAACTACTCTGCTGTGAAAAAGAAAGAAACTCTTGACTTTTGTGACACACAGATAGGACTGGGGGAGAATGATGCTAAGTAAAATAAGTCAGAATGAGAAAGACAAATGCCCAGTGGTTTCACTTATCTGTGGAATACAGAGAAATAAACAAAGGGCCAAATAAAACATAATCAGTAACAAGCCCTAGAAATACGTCTGCAGGACTGAGATGGGAGATATGAGCAGAGGGAGGGGACACTGTGGACATGGCAGAGGACTGTGGTGTCCTTGGGGTGCATTTGGCATGTAACATGCACACAAAGGGTGTGATCCTATACCTTTCCATCAATACAATGTTGTAAACCAACACTGCCTCCATAAATAATAATAATAATAATAATAATAATAAAATGATTTCTGAAAATAAAGCTTTCATTTAAAATCTGTATCACTCCTGTGGGGCATCCTACTCAGTCACTTCTCAGTTTGCTTCTAAGGTAGGTAGTTACTTCTTTTCCCTTTGAGAGAAGTAATAAATATTGTATATAAAATAAAACAGAGTATCTATTCTGAAATCAGAATACAAAGAAAGTACTCAACAAAGAAATTCAAACATCATTTGGACACACCAGAGCACTGCCCCCCTCCCAGGGGTCCCTGAAGACATTGTTTCCAGTGCTCCTTGTGTGCTGTTGATTGGACTGCTGCCAACTCATTAGTAACTCTTGCAGCTGAATCACCAAGGACTATTTTGTTGTTCACTCGATGTTCCCTGTACACTGATAGCAGATTAAACATATAAAAGAAATGCTGCTGTTATAAAATTTGCAGGGAGCCTGCTTCCCCGCCCAAGGAGATCGCAGGTGCCCTTCTGACTGAAGTAAAGAGGAACATCCCTTATCTCCAACCACTCCCTTTTTCCTTGGAACTAACAAAATAACTGAAAAATCTAGTGTCAGAGGTTATTTTAGACTTGGTGGAGGACGTGGAGACGGGGCTGGGATCATTACAGTAGGGACAGTGACAATCTAGGAGAACTCGGTTGTCAGACTTGCCTCTGAAAGCGTGAGTGTGTGTGTGTGTGTGTGTGTGTGTGTGTGCAAGTCCATATATGTGTACACATGCATGTGTATAAGCCTATATAGAGGGGAAGATCAGGTGTTGATGGGTAGAATGTAAGAGCGAGTCCTGAGTACACAGAAACCTCTTCACCAACTTAACACCCCTCAAACTGTCCGTCCATCAAGGGCCACTGAGAAAGAATTGTCAAAAAAGTAAGTATGTAATTGTCATGACATATTCACACTCTATAAACATAGACAGGAGTAAGAACAGTCAGTTTTAAAATCTGGATTTCTATTCATTGTAGTTGACACTGCAGAAATACATCAGCAGGCATTTCTGATATGTGGTGATTGCAAATGAATATGAAATTAGAATTTCCTGCCATGGTCATTTTAACCCTGGAAAGAACCAGTCACAATCATCAGTTAAGGAGGCTGTTTCTTCTTAAGAGACAAAAAATAAAGGACAATGGAAAATTCACCACCACCCAATATCCACTAGTATCATAAAAATCAATTAATATCTGTCTTATAAATTATCTCCACTTTTGGAGGTGGAGGGAGTCAAAAAGACTCTCCCTCTGAATTTCAGCTTTTCAGTCCATAGTCTCTGACCCCAGTGAAGAACAAAAGAGGTTTGTTCCAAACATAAGTCAGATTATCCCAAACATACTTTTTAATGCACTAAGTAGGGAGCTAATAAAGGGCAGCAGTAAATCTCACCGTCTAGCTCCCAGTGCCAGCGAGAGCAGGGAGTTTTGCCTAAGTTAACGTTACTTGAAACTATTTCTTGAAAGGAAGGTGGTAAAATTATTTATTTGATGAAACTGTTTCAAGCTTTAATTGATCTAAGCTGTTAATAAATAAATAGCTTCACTCTCCCAGGGAAACGTCCCTCGTGTAATGCAGAATGTCGGCACGCCTGATAGGAGAGGCCAAGACAAAGCAGTTTTATACACAGAGGATCTGCCACCGCAGCTTCATGTGGTAACAGACGTAGTGTCGATTTAACCAGCTTCATCAACTAAAACGAGATGTCCCTGAAAGCTAACACATATTATATTAGACATTTTTAACATTAAATTAATAGGCAATAAATGCTAATATGATTGAGTTCACCCGTCTTTCCTATCAATAGAGAAGAATAAGAGCTTCGTTAAGAGAAGCAGAGAATGATTTCAGGTCCCAGACCTTGGTAGGAAAGGAAGAGCTGGAGTAACAATGTCGATGTTAGTACAGGATTTGAATTCTTCTGCAGTGCGAGAGAAAGAGGGAGAGAGAAAAACGGAGATAAATTTGGGGTGCAGGAATGAACCTGGCTGTCATTTAGTTTGGCATATTAGAGTCTCCCTCTTGCAAAAATATGGTGATCCCTCCCATGAGCTAAGAGAGGGGTTTCCCTGCTCTGAAATCACCCCTGTGAACCCAGAACTTTGATAACTCAAGATGACAGATGATGCCAACAAAGAATGAAACTATAGAAACTGAGTTAACAAGAAAATATGAATAAGCTACCTGTACAGCTTTTGGAAGGAACAGACAAGGCATCATTATCACTCCAAATTCAAGGTTGTATTTTCACTGTTATCTTGTGTTAGCATGTCTCTGAGTATGCACAAGAAGGAAATATTATCTCCCAGTGGCAGCCTGAAACTTCTGAGTGAGATGGTAACTAGTCTCTTGTATTATATTCTGCAAATAATAGATTGTATGATTTATTTGAATGAATAATATGGATTATTTATTTGAGCAAAAAAAAAGAGCAACCTCATGTATTTTGATTTTCTCCT